AAGAAAAAAACCAGGAAATTAATTTAAGAAGGTCTGTGCAGGAAAAAAATGGGGGATTGAGACCTTTGTGTTCATTTGGTCAGTGCATGAAGTTGCTATTCGGTGTCTAGGGCACAGTGTTTGTGTTAGTGTGTGTCATGTGGCATAGAGGTTACTAGGCATAGATGTTTGTGTCTGACAACTTAATGCTGCTTACTGTTTTCTGTATTTGCCTCTTATAAACTGATTAAAGAAAATTGCAGTTAGATTATCAAGAAAAAAATCAAGTGCTCAGTGCTTGCTTAACTTCCTCCACAGAATGCAATTGGCCTATTAATACTAATTTTAATAGGCATAAAGAACAGGCAGTGGCAGGAAGCTTATGTCACTTTTCCACATTTCACTGACAAGTTTCTAGAGGGCTGGGGCTGTTACTGATCTATGAGTGGTAGAGAACTATGATCTGCAGTGCTGTGTGTGAAAGGCATAATCAAATATCTTCTCTAAAGTCATGCTCCTTGCTCCAGAAGAGTGTGGGGACTTCAGGTGAAACAAGCTATGTGTTCAAATTTCACAATAAAACCCAACGCTTGCCCTGTGTATGGAGAGACTCTCTCATAAATACAGAGTACAAAAACTTTCTTCAGCTCACAGACAAGAGTTGGAGGAGCTGTGTGGCCATTCTGAAAATAAGTTTTGTACACCCAGTATCAGCTGGCTTGCTGTGCTGGCTGGGCTGCTTGCATGGCACATCCATAAATTACTGCTCAAACACACTGGGACAAAAAGGTCCTCCAGAACTGTGTTCCTTTGCCTGTGAAGTGAGTGGAAGTCAGGTGTGCCCCTTCAGTCACCCATGCATGTTCTCAAGTGTGCTTGTGCAAGACCTTCCTCTACCTAGCTATTGCATCTGCTTGGAAATAAAAAACGTGCCTGGATACCTGTAAGGGTAAAACCAGTCTGCACAATATTCAGATACAGGAAAATGAACAGTATGGTGAAAGCTCTGAAATAAAACACACTGCACATGTACAAATATGTACATGATCTTCAAAGAACAGCTACAATCTCTGCCTTTCAGAACATAAATCCTAGTGCCTTGTACAAAATTCCTGCAATCAGAGCTTTGGAAATTCTTACTGTGTTGTAGAAATCAAATACATTGCTGAGTAGGATAAAATTCTTAAACGTTGCTGCTCCCACTCCAAAACAAATTGCCCAAAAATTACAATTGCCTTTTTTTTTTTTTTTTTTAAATAATTTTAGGATGACCTAGCTTTTAAATATTGAGAAAACTTAAGCAGGCATTTTGGAAAGGAAAAGTAGTCTGGCATATAGGAGAGGTTCTTTCAAGCAGTGACAGTTGCATGGAAGAGAAGGCAGAAGGCTGCAAGTGGATGGATGGTGGGGACAATGTAGAAGTGAAGGTAATAGGGATAAAACCTTTGGGGGATGCTTGCAAAGCTTGTAGTGGCACAGAAGATGGAGGGAAGTCAGTCTGGACAAGCTTGAAATGGAGTACCAGGAGAAGGGAAAATGCAAGGGATAGTGAAGTTGTGATTTGTCTAATTTCCAAGCTGCTGTGATTACATATTTCATGGGGATGAAATAAAATACGACACTTGGGTGTTGCTGCAGAGCCACCAGGAATACTTGTTGGCTTGCACGCAGGATACTTACTATGCTTTTTTCTCTGGTGAAAATGCGAATGCTGTTGCTATTGCAAACAAATGCACAAAACAGTAGCTCAGGTTAGGGAGGGGGGAAAAAAGCAGCAGATGTTGTGATGGTGAGCGGCTAGGTAGGGCAGGGTGAAGAGGCTTGCAGGGTAATCCTGCAGGATTGCAGCTGGTGCTCTCCCCGCTCAGACATCCTATAGAGG